ATATACGTCCGTGGGGTCGTTATCCAATACTCAACTTCGTCTCCGTCTGAGGCTTCGTGTAAGAAACCAATCCCCGATTGTGGGCCTGAAGTGTTTAACTTAAATTGAAGTACTGTAATGTTTGGCTCTTTTTGCATCTTAGTTGATGTTTTGTGGCACTATTAGATTTACTATTACGCTTACATCCTCAAAGTCAGGAAATAAAAAAAAAACAGTTGAAGCCTGAGCGGAGCCCAAGTCGAGTATTGGAAAACGGCTCAATTGGTTCCATATGCACGGACGTCATTTTTTATATGACGTAGGTGGTTAATTTTTCAAGTACTTCTAAGTGAAGTGGGCGCAGTTTAAACCGACTCAAGTGACGTCACACTTACAAACTCCGTGTCCGAATCACTTTGCTACGCGGCCAGTTCCCGTAGAGCTAGTGTGTAATTTGCAGCCGTAGCCAAGTGATTCGGATACCTCCCCTGTGACTTCATTTTGAACCAGGAGGTGCCGTGCAAACGAATGGAGTACGCTGACGTACTTGTTGGTTCACGCATTGGTTCTTGCGCTAATGCTGTTGACTTGTGCATGCTCTCCGGTTCGTGACGTTACTTTAGTTTAAACCAGGCCCTATGGAACCATGGAGCTGGAAGTTAACGGGCAACTTTAACGTTCGTTCAATGGGAGCCTGCGATCAGTGGTGGGTCCGCATGTATGACGAACCCGGATACCCCTGAACTGTGGCGTTCATTGTCTGCTGCGAATAACGAAACCCACATCTGCACGGGTGCCGGATACATTTCATCCATGGTTTCATAACGGGAGATAGCCAAAGCGATGGGGGGAAATCTGCAGATTCTTCATTGTCAGGGCAACGAAATCCAAATGATGAGACTCTCTATATATCCGCTCCGAGCGGAACAAAAAAGGATGTCAAGATGACAAGAGGTGCGTAAGTATAATTATGCGCGTTTGACGTGGATGACGCTGAGTACGCGTAACTAATTTGTTGCGGCATGTATTGTCTTTGCGCGTGCAAACGCAGAACGCGTGCAAGAACCCGCTTGCAACCAAAGATTGTATAGCGCCGAAGGCGCAAGATGGATAACTCTGTCCAAAAAATGTAATTACCGTAGGCGCCATTTGAGCAAGCTATACGCCTGCGCGGTTTACGGTAATGCTTCGGCGCATGCTCGCCAGGTGCACGTGCCGGCCGTGGCGCCTGCGCAGGTGTATCGCTTGCTCAAATGGCCCCTATGCGATTACAACGTTTTACGTGTATTCGCGGTGAAGTTCTTCATCTTGCGCCGCTATGCGGCGCTACACGATCTTTGCATCCAACTCTGCGGACAGGTAGGGAATGCGAGGTACAGTAGTACTACAAGATAACTTACAAGTTGCCAATAATGCGAGTCAACTTCTCAAGTTAGTGACTTTGTTTATTCATGCATTCATGTTATTGCTTTGTGTCCAATAAGCAAGCATATTTTCAGTTTTCCATGCACATTGTTGGCCTACTATTGATTTAAATACACTTTTTGAAATCCCAGTTTTAACAGTTGAATCAACTTTGAAATCACCTTTTGTTTGAATCTATTGTTTGCTCCAATATTCATGAAAAGTAACGTAACACCTCATTCCTATTACTTATTAATTCACTGTCTTTCCTCAAAGTAATTTTCATTCCATAACCTTGATTTGTTTTTACTGTAGCTGCACATTGTTCAGAGACCAATGTGTATAATTATTGTAAGGTACATATATTACACTTTCAGGTGGTAGTAACTTTGAATGAAATACTGGCAATCAGCAACCTCGGGGTGTAGTTTTTATTAAGTCTCAAAATCAAACCAAATTAAAGAAAAATCATCACGGTAATTAGTGTCAATTGACCTGATTTGACTAATCGATGATCAGGGACTGTTCGGAATGTGCCAGGTAAATTTGATTTGACAAATTTGCCTGCAAAGAATTTCAATTTAAGTAGAGTCCTAGGATTATTTCAGAGGGGGAAGTAACCCAACTATGCGGAAGTTGTGATCAGTCTTCCTTTTTGTTGGTGTTCATAAGTTTGTCTACTTCAGGGAACAGTTCAATGGAGGGTGGAATCCAGAGCTGAAGAAATTCACATGTAAGGTTAGATTGGCCAGTGGACAGTTATCTTAACTAAATAGAGTTTGTGAAATTATTTTTGATGGATTGGATTAGGTGAAAAGACTTTACACATCTGTCAAAGTTTCCAAGGCCGCTGTATTTTATAAATGTCTACTATATTCATTGATGTGTTTTGTCTCAGTAATATTGTGATAATGATGCCTTTGGTTATGGTGATGTTCTGAATTTCTTTTCAGCTGTTTTAAGTGATGTGGATGTCGTAGGGAATGTTAACAATTTTTACTAGGATGGACTAACAAATGATATCTTTTATTGACAGGAGTCTTCAGCTCGTTGTGTGTGAATGGAGGAGAGGCCTTGCTTACGGTTTCTTGGACATCGTTGGTTGACATGGAAGTTGTGGGGAATGTTTGAATTTGTGTGAGGGAATGATTTCTTTCTTTCTATAGTAGGTTTGCAGGTGATGTATTGATTATATAGGGTTATTCTATTGTTTATCGGGGATTTGGCGATTATAGTGCTGTGATGACATTTATGACTAAATTTCCTAAGGTTGATGGGTTTGTCTGATGTTAACTATCGTGTTTGTTGGTGGTGATAGTCACTAAGTTTCGAGAGTATCGTTTGGAGATTATTTTTGATGTCACTGATGAGTGATTGAGATTTTGGATTACAAGGTTGTTTTGGGGGTGGTGTCAGATAATATCTGTCGCTGTATTACTACTTTTACTTCATATTCTAAGTTTTTATTTCTACTCAGAATTCTTGGTTGCAGTGGCTTTCTAGTTTGTGTAGTTTGGGGTTGTTTGTTTGCAGAAAGTAGCAATGTTTGTTGGTTTCAGCGATGTGGGTTTTGAAAGAATTGTACCTTTTATTTGAAAGTTGTCACCATGATGAGAAAATGTTGTTGCAGGATTTTATTTTGAAAAATAATTCTTTTAAATTGAATCGGTGGGTATTTTTCGAGTATAAATAGAGGAATTGCTCAGGCCAAGTACAATTTCTTTTAGAAGGGGGGGGAGGAGAGATTTTTCGGGGGGAGGGTAATATAGGCATTCCTAAGGTCAGTTTCTAGATTTTTTGACTTAGTTTCTGATGATCGATTTAAGATATAAAAAGACAAATTATTTAATGGATCTGCAGTCTGTGTGCAACATGTAGGTACTGACTTGAATTTTTTTCTTTTTACAAATACAATGAAAAATTTAGATAGAATTATAGAGTTAAAAACAGATTTACCACTTTAAAAAGTTTTCAAAAGTTTTGTATTTACATAATGTCGACAAATAACTGAGTGACTGCACATACAGTGCATTGAGGGTTAAGATTTCAATATCATTGCACTACTAGCATCATGCAGTACAGAACTAGTCATTAGACTCTCTACATGACAGCTTTTATGACCTTTTAGAATAATACATTACAAAAGATACAATTTTCAGTGTCATTTCCCTATCTCAATCGGCCTCTGCTATTCCTGTCCTCCAGATGATATGTTAGGTGTCTTTTGGCCAGCTGGCTGTGTCTGCTGGGCTGATAGCTCAGTTTGGCGGAGAATTAGGTTGGGAGGGCTGGCTGAACACAGGTGGACTCTCTCCAAATACAGCTGACATGACTTGGATCAGCGTGTGCAGGTCCGATGATGGCTGGATGGTGACCAAAGAAATGGCACAACATATTGTTAAACTGGTTCATCACTGAATAGGCTGAAATGTACCAATAAATTTTATCAGTTGAAAAAAAAGTGGCCCATTTATGACAAGACACTGCAGGCAATAGTAACAATTAAATTTTTAAGTGGACCATAACAACACCTTTTCCTTCAAAGAGGGCGATTCTAACTTCATGGTCGTCTTGCAAGCGATTATTTGTGTTACAATATTGCTCTAGAATGTGTTGAAGTACTCTAAATCATCAAAGAAATTTGGTTTTCTCTAGAGATTTCTATAGATTTCCTTTAAATACTTCTTGTTTTTCAAGCACATCATAAACTGGGTATCACAAGTAACTCCAAGCACATCACATGATGGTCAAATTAACATAATTTTAATGTACGTGTACATTCATCTTTTTCCCAAATACTCTGTTCACGCCAGAATATTTACAGTAGTGTATGCATTTGACTCATTACAGAACTCACACAGTCCCAGTCATAGAGGTAGGGCAGGTAGATTTTGCCGTTGGCATCCACATACTTGGATGGCTTGATAAGCATGTCCTTGGTGGGCTTGACGAAGCAGAGGGGTGGATTGTAGGGATGCGTATCCATCACCCAGATACAGATGGGAATGTTGTAGCTTATGCCTGCCGTGCAAAGAATCGGCCAAAATAATCTCACCCACGTGATACGCATGTTTACATTATTAATTCCAAGTAAACACAGGTGTTGAATATTACAACAAAATTGATTGCAGGCAGCGAATAAGATCATAATGCAATGCTTTGTAAAAAAAAAAGCACACCCAGTTACCGAGGACTTGGTGCTCTATCTCAAAATAGTTCCCAATGTCTGCTATGCAGCATTAACCTATGACATATAAAAGGAATGTTTGATATGGAGGGAGATTCGCCGCCCACCTTTGTAGTAGACGGGGATAGTGCCATCAATACACAGTAGTGTTTTCTGCGATCCATCGTTGAAAACTAAAAGTAAAAAATGTTCAAATAAGCCACTAATAAAGCTGTCAATATCACACATAAAGAATTTCTTGTCAAATTACAGTTAATAGTTTCGCAATTCAAGGACTAAGAGCAAACTTTCATTGTAGCAACTTGTGGTGTAATGTTGACAAGCAAAAACAGTCCACTTGAGCTTGAGTGATGAGCTCACCATATGTATCCATTTTTGGTCGGACATCCTTGAATGTTGAGAAGACAAGTAAGGCATCTTGTTCCGTTTCTGCCGGCCTCTGGTACTGTACCAAGATGAAGTGTCATGACTATTAACCAGCAGCCCAACCCTCCTTAATCCTAACTCCTTCATCACTTTTAATTGGTACCTTACTAAACCTAAGACCCATCACTAGCTTCCTAGATATACTAGTTTTGGTACAACACTTATACATGCACACTTGGATCCTGGTTAAGGAGGATTGAGGAAGGTAAACCCTACATGTAGCTGAAGTACCTATGGAAAGAGAAGGCCTTAAAGTGAACAGAGGACGTGA